TTTAATATTTCATAATAAATACTTTGAAAATCATTTTTTTTTCATCTTTAGTTTTTTAATTATTTTGTCCTAATATGTTATTGCTATTTAACAGCTTTGTTTTAGTAAAAATTATTGGGTGTTTTTAAGATAAACGCCTATCGTCTGCTACAATTTTAAAGTAGTAAAATCAAACAAAACTAAAACGCAAGTAAAAAATTCCCCAAACATTTTGTGTTCATTTATTAAAAAAACAAAGCATTTTTCTGTGACTACAATAAATTACTGTTATAACAATAAAACACTTTTTTGTATTTTGCGTCTGAAAAAAGCTTATTTCGATACCAAAACCGATGCTTTAATGAGCCATTTCAACACCAATTTGGGTGCTGAAATAGACTAGTACAATTTACTTTCTAAAGGTTGGTAATGGTGATTTTCAGCGGCGTTTTGAGCAATTTCTCTTTCTTCAGGTGGTGAACATGAAATATTTATAGTATTCATTGTTAGTTCAACAAAATTTTAAAAAATATTGAAGACTGACATTTATTACCAACCACGACCATATTAGAGCAAAAGTTTTTAAATTTAAAAATCGACTTTTATGTAAACTCGTTATTACAGCATTTATTTTTGTAATTTTTTTGAAATTTGACAGTTTTTCATCAGTGTTTTAGTCTGTTTTAATATTTTTATAATTTTTTTGATACCAACCTCAATTTGCAGTGTAGGATAGGAAAAAAGAAAAACCCCTCATATAAAAATATTTATTTACAAACTGCAATACGAAAATTCAAGTCTTTGGACTTAACCAAAAAAAAAAAAAAACAATAGGATGGAATAGAACCAAAAACCGACTAGTATCACTTTGGCAAATCACTCTCATCACTGCAAACATTCAACGAAGGCTCCGACTCGGCCCTTTTCAACCCCTCCCCTCCCACCTCCTCCAACTGTTTACTATTAATATCGGGGAAACTCCTCGTCACAATCTCTCCCTGTTCCCCCACCGCCTCAATCTTAATATCCTCCCCCTCCACCTTCAACAACTCCTCATTCAAACTAACATTCTTCAAATCAACAGTACTATTCGCGAAGATGGCCGCCGGCCCCAAATCCCCCTTAATCTCAACCGGGGGAAACCCCGACTGCTCCCCCGTCACGGGGGGCCTCAGCGGACTCGTCGCCGTCGTCGTCGTCTTCGAGTTGGGCGACTGAACACTCGCCTTCTCCTGCTTATGATGCGCTATCAAATCACAAGCTTTCCCCAAAATCAGCAAACTATTCAAAATTTTGAACGATCCGAGACAGAAATACGCCAAAATAAAGAGCAAAACCGAGGCGAAATCGCTGATTTGGACCGCACTTATCAGCACTCGAATCATCACCACCCCCAAGGGCAGCGGAATGAACCCCATTCGGCGCGCCACCAGGTCCGAGTGGTCCGAAAAGGCGTGTTTTTGGCGCGTTTGGGCCATATCATAGGCCAAACTGGTGGTGTAATCGCGATAAACGTCCAATTGGAGTTCGTTGAAACGGGTGATAAACGCGTGTTTGATCCAATCGACGAACATTTCGGCGATTAAAACGATTAGACAGTCGGGGACGAGGACCCAAAGTCGGTCCGATTTCCACGAATATTCGCGCATTGTTTGCAAAACGACGATTGAAAGGAGGACGATGAGGTGGAAACGCTCCCTCACGTCGCTACAAGACACTTGGAATAGGTTATTCTTGTCGAATTTCTTGAAAACGCTCCCTTTTAACTCCACAAACTGCAATTTTGGGGCGAATTATACGGTTTCAAAGACGCTAACTTACATTGTTTGACATCATGATGGTCAAAAGGGCCTTGTTGTTGGAGTTTATCGCGACGTTGAGTGTCGTGGCTTGAAACAACACCAAAATGCTGTGAAGGACTGACTTAATAAGGAAAATACTGAATTCTTTTTTTTTACCACTGTGGCTAATAATCATTTTCATTTTTATTTTAACTATACAGCGTGTCGCAAAAATAGGTTACACAAACTTTGTGAAAAATCAGTTGTAACAAAATAAAAAAATTACCACTGACCAGACAAAACCTACTTTTTCATGAAAAAAGATGACAAATACTATTTTTTACAAAAATATTACATCGAATTTTCGCAAAATTAGAACATTTGGATTCAGATTACTATAATAAAATAAAGTTGTTCTTTCAGGTTTCAGGCAATTGTAATTTGCAAAAACTAAACTAAAATAACTGAAAAAAACTTGACTGAAACACAGTAAAACCTACTTTTTCTTAAGAAATTTGAAATTGCATTCCTAAAATCATTTATTTAAAATTAATTACTTTTGGAAAAAAGTACAAAAACTGAGTTGAAAATCGAATTAAAATAAAGTGTAATGACCAATTTTATTACAAAAAAATCAGTCTCTAAAGTAAATAGTTTCCTAAAAAGTCATTAATTTTCTACTTAGAAATTTAAATTTTTTTATAGTCTGCTTCACTACTAATATTTTTTTAGTTGTAGAAAATTTTTTGTGTGCACTACGTGCTAAAATATGGTTTAATGATCGTTTTTATCCTTTCTCAGATTGTATTTAAAATTATTATATTGCATTTCAGTAAAAAATAGAACATTTGAATTAATTATATTTATTATGAAAATATTTAAAAAAATCTTTGACTGTTATTTCAGGTTTCAGACAACTGTAATTTACAAAAACTGAACAAAAATATTTGAAAAAAAAATTATAACACAAAAAAAGTGAGTACTGGCCATTATTTTATTGAAAAACCTACTTTTCCTCAAAAAATGTGAAAATAACATTCTCAAAATTAACTAATTTTTACTTTTAAAGTGTTAATAAGCTATAAACTTTCTTGTGTCAAAGAAAGAGAGTTGAAAAATTACTTTTCAAGCAGTAAAACTTTATATTTTGTTACAAGGTCAAAAAAATATAGAAAAAAAATCGTAAATAAGAGATTTATACAAAAAAATCACAGTCTGTATATTTTTAATAAGAAAAATTCTTGTGTACTGAAATGTGGTTCTATAAAAAATGGCTTTTTTAACATTAAAAACAGTGAAATTAATTTTTTTTTAATCAGTATTAATTTTTTTTTGTTTCTGCACCTAAGAGATTATTAAATTATTTTTGTAAAAAGCCAAAGAATCTAAAGATTCCAAACAGAAGGACTAAAATATTAAAATAGAAATATTAAACGATGAAAGATAAAAAACTCAATAAGAGTATAAAATACATAGATTCAACAAGAAAAAAACTGAAAAACTTCAAAAATTCTTCAAAAAAAGTTGTTGTTTGTATTTTCAAATGTAAAGAGAAATTAGTTTAAAGATTGTAAAAAAAAGTTTGCAAAGTAAAAGACTAACGTGTTTTGAGATCTAAAGATGCACTAAACAACTCAAAATTTGTAAGTTAGAAAGATGAAAATAAAAATTAAAAGATTGAAAGACATTTTCAAAAAGTTGAAAGTGTATAAAAATTAAATAAAAAAAAGAAAACAAAAAGTAAAAATTTCGAAATTAAAACATTTAACAAATAAAGAGATCTTCCAGAATTTTGTAAAATGTGCTGTTTTACTAACCTGGACATTTTTTGATGTTTCTGAAACTAAAAACGCGTTTTTTTTATAAAAAATTTTTTCAAAATAGAAAAATCCGTGGTCAAAAAAATGTAATTTTTTTTAAAAATTTAAATAACTCAGTAATCACATTTACGTTACATTATTCTTTATTTTTACAATAAAACAACTCGAATTTTAATATAATATAAACTTTTAACAAACTTCTAATTTTTTTTTTACTTTCCATTTTTATAGTGGAAAAAAAACACCATTTTTTTGGCTAATATTTTTTTTTAAAAGCATATTTTCGTCAAGAAAACGAACTTAGGTATTTCAAAAACTCAACAAAATCACCCAATAAAAATTTAACTTAAAAAACATGAAAAAATAAATAATTATGGTGTTTCATTAAAAAAACAAGTTTGTATTGAAACTTATTTTGGAGACACGCTGTGTAGTTGAAAATAATTTTAAGCGATGCACTAGATTCGTATTTATCAATTGTTTATATAAATTTCGTAAAATTTTAACATTTAAACATAAATAATGAACTTTAACAACTTACTGGGACACCCTGTATAACTAAAATATTATTACAAGTACTAACGGAAGTATTTCGAGATAAAATTAATGCAAAATCAAATAAAAAAAACACTTAGTCTTTAACTTTAACAAAAGGATACTGACGTAAACGATGGCAAAAATCAGGTGTGGAATGACCCCCAGATGCTCCCTTTTCCGTCCCCGGGGCTCCGTCGCCGTCCAAAACAGCGCATCAATGGTGTCTTGTCCGAACGCCGAGAACAACCTGTCCCCCACTTCCAACATATTATAAAAAATGTACAACTTAATCACCGATTGACTCTTAATCAAATGATACAACATATTTGTGTCAACCGAGAACATAATCATGCTACACGTGACGAGAATAACAGCCTTCAATAAATCACAAATCTCCGCTGGAGTTAAAACGCGTCTTCCTCTGTCATGGACCCCAAAACACCAAAACGGTCGAGTCACCAAAGCCCACAGTGCTAGTAAAACCCTCATTGGTAGAAACGTGTAAACAAAAAGGAACGAATCGGTGCATTGCATGAATCCATAACGCATAAAACGCTCCACTTCGCGAGGGATTCGCATAAATGAGTAGACTTTCTCTCTCCGGGCCGAAAAACGCTCCTCGTCGTGTTCCAGGAGGTAGTCACGGGTCAGCTCCACTTGGAGGAACGACGCCAGGGATGGGCCCTTCTCTACGAACAATGACAACAGTGAGGGGCCCCCCGAAACGGGAATATTTACCTTTCTTTGACTCCACCTCGGGTGCCTCCTTGTCATTTCGTAATAAATCGTCGATTTTGCTCTCGGAGGTAAATAGCACACGCGCGGGGGTCTTAAACCGGATTTTTTTACCCCCTAGTGTGTCTTTTTCTTCGTCCAAAGTCATAATTTGAGAAAAATTACGAGTTACGACATTTCACAAGCTGACATTGACACATAAACATGACGTCTGCGGCCGAAAATGGCCGCGGCATTATACACACCGCACTGAAAACGCAAAATTAAATCACAACTCATATTCCGCAATGATTTGAGTCAACAAATACACTTACTTGTACTCAGTTAATTATTTGGTGTACCAATTTGAATTTTTTGTTGCGTTTTGTTAACTTAATCAAACTTGAGTTTGGGACCGAAAATGGCCGCGGCTTAACATGCCCCGGCCCGAAACCACAAAATTAAATCACAACTCATATTTAACAATAATTTGAGACACTCAGTACACTTATTTGACTCGATTAATCATTTGATGTCATAATTAAAAAAAAAATTTTGCACTTTGTAATGACATTCAAACTGTCAAATTTTTTGACAGTGACACTTGACACTTATCAGCTGATGGGGCCACGACTAAAGAAAGCTCCGAAGCCCCCAAAAGTGAAAAACACTTGTCGCAATGTACAGTGATAATTTTTTATTTCCCTCCCCAGATGTTTTCTTATCGTTAAGTAATAAATCGTCGATTTTACTCTTGGAAGTGATTAAACCACACGCCGGTCTTGAAACGCATTTTTTTACCCCCTAGTATGTCTTTTGCTTCGTCTAGAGTCATAATTAGAGAAAAAAACTACGAATTACGACATGAACTGACATTGACATAACATGGAGTCTGTGACCGAAAATAGTCGCGTCCTAAGATGCACCGCATCGAAACCACTAAATTAAATCAGTCTTGCAAACACACAATTTTTTATACATCGTAGTGTGTTTTTTTCTTTATTCAAATTTATAATTAGACAAAAAAATACTGACATTGACACAAAAACATAATTTGCGACCGAAAATGGCCGCGTCCGAACAAAAAAATACACAAAATAAAAACAACTCACTTTTTACAGTTACTTAATACACTTATTTGTACTCAATTAATCATTTGATGTAATATTTAATAAAATTTGTTGCGTTTTGTAATGAATGACACCCAATCTGTCAAAATTGCAATCTGTCATTGTGACAGTGACACTTGACAGTTATCAGCTGATGGGGACGCGACAATAGAAAGCCCCGAAGCCCCCATAAATAAGAAAAACTTATGGCAATGTAAAGTGATAATTTTTTATTTCTTTTTTTCGTCTAGAATCATAATTATTAAAAAAAATTACGAATTACGACATGAACTGACATTGACATAACATGGAGTCTGCGACCGAAAATGCACCCCACCGAAACCACAAAATTAAACCACTATTGGACGCACATAAAACAGATGTGGGGGTCTTGAAACAGTTTTTATACAGACTAGTATGTCTTTTTCTTTATTCAAAGTTATAATTAGACAAAAAATTACTGACATTGATACAAAAACAATAATATCAGTTTTTCATTTTTGGCAATTTGACAAGTCAATGTAAATATGAGTACTTACAGTTGGAGACAAAATACTTTGGTCGTCACTTTTCTGACACTTTAATGTAATTCAGGCTTTAACGTTAAAATGAATGTCAATTTCAAATTAATGACAACTATTATATCTCTCTATCAAAAATATGTACAACTTGTCAACTATGATGATAACAGTCCTAAAGCATGCTTCACAATTTAATGTCACTTAAGTGACATTGACGACCAAAGTATTTTGTCTCCAACTGTACAAGCATTTTTGCTTCGTACCTCATTGCAAAAACTATGTGGGAGGGTCTATTTCGATGCATTACTTTCTAAAATGGAGATTTCAACTTTTATCACTATTATTTTAAACAAAAAAATACTCCTACAAAACGTTAGCCGTAGGCGAGTTTTCTATGGGAAGAGTGCGCCAATGCCATTATAAAACGAGTATTTTATGCTATTTTTTCTAATTTGCGCCCCCTTTTTTCTTATTTTAATTAAAAAAATATATTTTTTTGTCGCCTAGAGAATTTTGTGTTAGTTGGCATCGGTTGGTAACACTCGGCGCCCACCTGTTTTTTTTTGAGTTATTTCTGCCGTCTGTCATTAAAAATAAAACTTACAAATTATTAGTTATTAGTGTTACAACATGATAATAATAAATAAAATATGAGAAACAGAATTTAGTTTGCATTCCGCCCGAAATTCGCCAAATTGCCGAAGCTGCAACGCAAAATTTGTTACCTGACAAGTCAGAAGCGGTATCCAAAAACTAAATAACCCTAAATTCATTAAAGTACAGTGTGCTTTTATAGATAGCCATAAAGGACTCCTACTGGAGACGTTAATAAACGTATTATAAACGCAAATTAGAAAAAATTAATTTATAAAATTAAAAAGGGCAGCTTTTTGATTCAGATGGCCTTGAAACGATAATATGGATGGCGCCATCTAGACCAGGATCGCGCGCGGCGCTGTTTCGGTCGATAATTCAGTTTCCCTTTCTACTTGTCGGTGGCGTTTGCATAGAAAGCCTTTGTGATTTATTAGCTGTCCAATCGTTTTTAACAGGTAAGTCAATGTCTTGATATTTATTAAATGTTATAAGTAAAATATAATTCGTCTGTTTTTCATTCATTTTCAACGGTTGTGTCGAAAATTAAAGTAAATGCAATAACTGAACAGCCACGTGGTATAGTGTTATCGTTTTCCAGTGTCGTAAAAGAAAAACGTTGCTTTCACGTTTCACGCCCAAAACATG